GAGAGAGAGAGAGAGAGAGAGAGAGAGAGAGAGAGAGAGAGAGAGAGAGAGAGAGAGAGAGAGACAAGGCACCACATAGTTCTGTGTGTGTTTGTGTGTGTGTGTGAGAGAGAGAGAGAGAAGAGAGAGAGGAGAGAGAGGTACCTTGAGTCGGCGTCCGAGTTCCTTGTAGAGCAAGAAGCCTGAGAACTCTGCAGTGCATGAGCGCTCAAGGAATTCGAGCAGGATTGCTCTCGGCGCTCCTTGCAGTTTTTCCGCTGCCTCTTTGAATTCACTGTTACGGACGAAATGCGTCTGATTGTAATCTGTTTTGAACTCGTTCAGGAGCGCCAGGAACTCTTCTTCCCTGTAGTTGGGATTGCCCTCGACGGTGAGCATTGCCTCCATCTCGTCGAAATCGGTCGTGTAAAACCGAGGGGTCAATAAAGTCTCTTTGGCCGGCGTTTTCGCACCCTCCCTCATCTTCTCGCCTTTGGAGACGTCGACCTTGGTCGAAGCGCGGGGCGCAGCAACAACTCGCCTACCGCGTGCTATCGCGTGGGAGCCCTTGCTGCAGCTCCCCAAACCGGGGGTGAAGGATGACATCCCAACATTGGAGGAGGACGCAGGCACGAGAGCCATGCATCTCGTCAAAGAAGAACAGGACGACGACGACGACTTCGTCTGAACGCCCGTCGTCGGCGACGAGGCTACGGCCGCCATAGCCGCAGCCGCAAGACCCGATGACACAGCAGCCGCCATCGCCACGGCTTCTTCTTCCTATTCCTCTTTTTCTTTTTCCCTTTCTTCCTATTCCTCTTCTTCCTCTTCTTCTTCCTCCTCCTCCTCCTCCTCCTCCTCCTCCTCCTCCTCCGCTTCTTCTCACGTGTCCTTCACGCACGCTTAGCTAGCAAACTCACGACCATGCAATGCAAGCGCAGACGCCCGTCAACGTCTACGTACAAACCTCTCTCTCTCTCTCTCTCTCTCTCTCTCTCTCTCTCTCTCTCTCTCTCTCTCTCTCCTCCGGCTGGTAAGTGTCAATATCTATCCTTGAGGCAGGATGAGAATCGCCGAGTTCTTCTTCCCGATCCCCCACCTCCTCTCCCGCATTGCCTCCCCTCTTCTCCCATCCCCTCCCCTCCCCTCCCAGCCACGTCACAAAGTTCCACTTTGGCGTCTCTGAGTGAAAAAAAACGGATGACGAGCAGATCCGCGACAGGGTGGAACGGCCCACTCAGCTCCGGGTTGAAGTTCCACCTGCCTCGAAATTTTTCATCTTTGACCGTAGATTCGGAAGATCTACGACCAGAAACGTAGAATGTATATAGCTAACTGGCACCTCAACCCCGGCATCTGTTTAAGTTGGACCGATGCATAGAAGATCAGCATGGCCCCTGCCCCCTGCAAAAGTGGAAAAAGATATAGAAGAGTAAACAAAGAAATGAAGAAAATAAAAGCTGAGAAAAACCAAAATCAATCAGAACAAAGCATCCAGGGCGTGATTGGCTGACGACCAGATTCCATCGTCGTGAGTCAGCCAGCCACGCTGCGAGGTTACCGATCAACAGCCGTTGATTGCACAGCTGCCGGCGAGATCGAGGACACGATGGAACGACCCTCGCCGGCGGAGTATCAACTCAATAAGCGGCAACAAACAAAGAGGAGGAGCATACAAAACGGTAGCAGGACTATCCTGGGGCAAGGTCCCACTTGCACGGGACGGATTAAGAGATTCTGGCCGTTGATCTCTGCAATCTACGGTCAATGTCGCTTAATTCGTGTAAGTGGGACCTATGTAGCCCCTGGATGTATGTGACCGGAAAAACTGTAGCGGTACCTGCACGTATCTGACCGCAGCTACGTCCAGAGATCACTCTCACGCCGGTAAGACTATCCTCGATGAATGAGACCGTAAAAATGGCAGGCGGTCCTGCATGTATCCGACCGCAATTAGGGCCAGAGAGTGGTACGAAAAGTATTCTGTGCGGACGACCTGATACGTATCTGTTCCGCTCTGATGAGTGCAGTATCTATCTGATTCAAAAAAAAAAAGGAAAAAAAAAAAAAAAAAAAAAAAACAAGGTCCTGCGGGCACGATGTCCCAGATTCTTCAATTCCGACCGCAGATCGCCAAGATCGACGGCCAGCAACAGAGAATCCCGGGGTCAAGTCCCACTTGCCGAAATCCTTCATTTCTGCTCGTCGATCTCGGGAATCGACGGTCCGGAATTGAAAAGTCAGGTAAGTGGGACTTGGCCCCAGCTAAGTGCCAATTGCGCCGTAAGTGGGACATCGGCTGAGGGCGTACCCGCATTCTCCTGGGTGTATCTGACCGCAATGACAGCCAGATGTATATGACCGCAATTATGTCCAGAGAGAGCGCAGTCGAAAAAAAAGTCCTGGTGTGAGTATGCCCTGAGCCGCCCGCCAACACAAAAATTGGAAAGGTACCGATGCCACGCACAAATCGGAAAAAAATAAAATAAAAATAAAAAGGTTCAAATATCTTTTTTTTAATGGTCCAAATTTGAAAAAGCGAAAAAGAAGGAAGAAAAAGCAGGAGAAACTGCAGAGGAAGATAATTGGCTGGTGGCAAGATCACATAACATGAGTCAGCCGTTCTCACATCGAGGGCGGCCTATTGCTGTTGTATGCTCCTTGTATCTGGTGTTGATTAACCAATCACGATAAAGCCGTTCCATCGATCCCCGGTTGTCGCTGGAAAAGTGACTGAACGTGGCTGGCCCATATGGCTGAATCGTACACACACAACTATGAATAACAGGTGATGAGTTCGAATCCCCAGAGACCAGGGGCAAGGTCCCACTTGCACGGATTAAGAGATCCTGGCCGTTGATCTTTGCTATCTACGGTCAATATCGCTTAATTCGTGTAAGTGGGACCTTGCCCCAGATGGATACGATAATAAGGTTATAGGGCAAAGTGAGAAAAAAGAGGAAAAGCGAAGATCAAGTGTAGTATCTGTTCTGATCAGTTTAATATCTTCAAAAAAAA